CCTGCTTTGAGCAGGAAGTTGGATTAAAGACCTGCTGAGGTTCCTTCCCACCTGAATGACCTTATAGTGTGTCCTTTGCTGTATTATACACACCTAAAAGTAATACAACTTGTCATAAAGCTAATGAGTTACTCTTTAAATTACATGCAAGTAATTCTGTAAAGTAATGTGCCAAAAACCACACCTGTGCAAAACCCAGTGTGGCCTGCTTAGGGAGCTCCATAATGGAAATGAGGTACTGTGCCCAATAATTGCTGGCAGCATTTGGACAAGTAGCTTTAACTTTTTCAGGTCTTCTTTCCGGTAATCACTTGTGCCTAAACAGCAGGAGTCTCTGTTCTTATTTTAATGAATTTTTCAGCAGATTCATAAAGACAAATTAAAAACTGTTTTCAAAGATTTGCCATGCATCTCTTGCTGACTACAGCAAGATCTGCAGCCATGTCTTCAGGGAAAATTTGAGACAGAAATTCTTTGCTGTTCTTCTGCACCAAGTATGCATCCAAGGCTCAAGTTGAATTTGGAGAACAAAAGCAAGGCATACTTAGCCTAAAGGTTGAAAACTAGAGCTCTGCACGAATTCCTGTGCAGGACCTTGAAGAGGGTTTCAAAGACAAAATTTCCTGATGCCTATATGTGCTTGGAACTGCCCTCCAGGTAACAGCGTTGAGGGGAAGAATAGAGAGACCAACTGCATCAGTGTCCAGTTTCTCATGAGAACCTGATGAAGGAGAATTGCTTTTGCTCTCCTGCTTCAATCTCAAGAACAACAGTGAGAGAAGTGTCCATTGCCCCCACGTCAATGTAACCTCTCTCCATGAATACAGCTTGCCAGGGTGGGTAGCTGGAGGGTAACATCACAGTGGAGGAAGCTTATGGATTATGTCTTAGGCTCATCTGCAGAGGAGACTCCTGACACATGTGACTATTCCATTATACAATACTGCAAAGAGTATTTATTGGATAAATTGTAGCTGCAAATGCTTTTATAAACCAGCTGTGTTGTGGCAATGCAGCAGGACTCCAGGCATTAATGTTCTCAAACCTCATTCTTGGCTCATCCATCTTATCAGTAGTAACTTCTGAGGACTTTTAACATTTCCTACCCTGTTATATGTTTGTCTTTAATTATGAATTAGTTCTGACTCTACATAGACATAACTAGAAAGCACAATCTCAGAACTAAAAATGTGCTATATGTCTCTTCAAAATCTTGAATGAGGAAAGCAAGAGAATGCAAGAGTTTTCAAAGCTTAAAGGCAATAGCTCAGTGGCCAGATACAACCAAAGCTACACCCTAGTCTAATATTAGGCTAAATTTTGGCTCAAATACACTGAGATGGTGCTGAGATGTCATCTTAGTGGCATATATTTTGTTCTCTGATGTTTTAATGGACTTCATGAGTTACTGGTGATTCCTTTGGAAAACACTTAATTAATTTCAGAAAACATTATCTGTGCTGGTGAGAATTAAGAGCTTAATGAAATAAGATCAAAGAGAGCTTTACACCACCAGGGTCTATCAAATCAGACATGACTAGTCTTCTTGTCACTTTTGGCCATTAAAGACTTTATGATAATCTAGGGACTTTATCCCAGCAGCCCAATTAAATTTGGTCCCAGGTGATTATTTCAACTCCTCCTACATTTTCAGCAAATGAAGCTGTTGTCCTAAATGCCTGGGTTCTGCATGTGGATATTGGAGAAATAAAACAATGCAAGAAATTCTGTCCATGAACATTGTCTCATAATAACTGTATCTGAAAAACAGTAGAAGGCTCACCAGAGGGTGACTGGACAACAGGAAATGCAGAGCTGTGAAACACTGATATCAAAACAGTTACAGATCATGTTTTTCTCCTGGGGTTGTCTGTCTTCTAGGGCTGCATGGGTACTTCCACACCCAGTGCTGTGACAGGGACATTCCCTGTGGAGGCAGCATCATCAAGAGCACGGAAGGTGGTGTGAGGCAAAGCATGGAGCGTCTTCTGCAGCAGCAGTGGCACCACTCCCAGTGGCTGCTCTGCAGTCTGCTCTTGGCTCTGGCCCTGTTTCTGTACTGTCCCATCCTCAAAGTACCTCAGCCTGGAGAAGAAGTATGCCAAGGTTGTGTGATTTATATTTGCTAGAGGCAATTCTCTCTTTCTGTCACCTTTAAAATGGATTTTTTTCTTTTCATTCTTCCCAAAATTAAATGTGCTCTTCCATGTTTATTTAGGCTTGCTCTTTTATGTGCATTTCTTATCAACTGAAAGACCAATCTTTGTCTTGGCACAGGCAGATAGATATTTGAGACGGTTCACAAATGCTTTCGGAGCTGAGGAATGTTTCTTTTCCATTTCTAAAACCTGTATTAAGTTCTTTGTCAAACCCTGCAAGTCAGTCTTCATGACTTCATGACTTTATTGAAGAACTTTGGGATGAGTTCACAGCAAGAGGTGGTCAGACACAAAAGAAACTTTTCTTTCTTCGAGGTTTGTATTTAAAATATATCTCCTTTCTTTTTTTAAATTCTGACCATGTCCATGGCAATTTTATAATACAGATTTGTATAAAATCTGTTTCTATTAAATCAAAACACTTATGTACACATACACATCTGTATATTTAGACAGAAGTTGAGTTGCTTCTGCATTTTCACATGTGTACCTGAACCCTTCACAAGATTACATCTCCTCTTGCAGTCTTCTTGAACAGAGCTACCAGACCATTAAACCACTGTCACTCTCCATTAGCCATGCCTGGTATGTCTTAATTTGTCCTTCAACCTTTTCACAAATTCTTCAGCAGAAAAATATGCATGCAACAAGAACAGAAAAACTTAAATGCCAGAATTCAGATTTTGCTTGTTTTATCACACACAAGCTGAGGATGTCTCTGGAGTAATTAGTGAAAGAATAGCATTAATTCTGCTTCTCACTGATGAGGATGCTTCATTAGGATTGATTGCTCATTTCCAAAGATTATACACGGCTAAAATAATTACCAGTGGTGAACACAAGGAACTGAGCAACACATATATCCTTTAGACCACCAAAGTAAATGGACCCTTAAGAACAAGCTTAATACTTTTATTTATAAGGACTGTACAAATGAGGGGTTTAGTTCCACTAGGAGTAGCTGTCAGCTAAATTAGGGCTCCATGACTAAATTTGAATCTCTGTTCCTTTTCCCTGAAGGTTCTGTATATGCACGTACAAGAGTCCATCTATATGCACATACAAGACTTTATCTAGGACTGGATGAGACACCACTAAAGGTCACCACAGAGTAAGAGAAGTCACAGTTCTGTTTCACTTTCATTGGAAAGTCATCACTATCATGCAACTCACTTATGCTGATAGCCTGAGCCTGATTCTACTTCACACAAAATTTGTAGCTGCAGGAAAAAATTCTTACACCAGAAGCCCTCATCCTTTTATTCTTCTGCTATCTCTTACAAAACAAAGGCTTATGAATGAAGGACATTTAGTACCTGAGTTTTTTTCCTATGCTATTTCTATTTTTTTATTTCTTCCATGTTGGCCTCATTTCTGAGCAGCTTCTGATAATTGGGACAGTGTTATGGGAGATCATAGGAAGCTGGTTTTGTCCTTATGTGAAGCTATTAATACTGCTGCCTGGCTTTGCAGGCTATAGGACTACCCATTCAGTTTGTAGAACAAGCTAAAACATTAACCAATATGTGCAGATTATGGCAGGAAAGAAAGTAAGGAGGTTTCACATAAAATGTACAAAACTGTACAGAACAAAAAAGTGTCATCAAAACAGAAACATGAAGAGAATACGTAGAGGTATGAGAGAAAACCAGAACATGCTCTATCCTAATGAGCTCTTTCCTGATACATATCTTAACTTGAATAAAATGGGTATTAACTGTCTGGAAAAAAATAAATCTACAATGTATTAATGTGGGCTGAGCATTTCTCACATCAGCACTGAAAATATCAGGCAAGCATTAACACAAGATCGCCCCAGGGAGAAGACTGGCAGCTGCCCCAGTACAGAGATACACCACACCTCAGGTCAGACTCAAGATTTTGAGGTGATGGCTTCTGTGCAGCAGCTGTAATTGTGAGCAGACTGTTCAAAAGGTGCGGACAAGCATTCAGGGAATGTTTTTTGGTCTACGTGAATGAAGCCATCCTTTGCTTCTGTAGTCTGAATGATGGAGAGAGGAGACCCACCAATCCTCCTTCCACGTGTACCCAGAACTTTGAATCCCAAAGAGCCTGGACACTTGTGAAAACAGGTAGAACATGAAAAGGAGCCTGTGTTTTCTAATGCTGCTAGCTTCCATGCAGTGAGAGACAAACTGCAACATAAACTGCAGGACACCAAAATCCTGGTGACTGGCAACTGGAGCTGGACTCACCGGTGAGAGGGGAGCAGTCAGAGCAGGGGTGGAAAGGGGGAGCAGTTAGGCAGACATTGTAAGCAGGGAAGCAAAATGGCAAAAAGTCATGGGACAGAATTGCCTGTGCAAGGATCAGAGGGGCAAATAAAAGATAAACATATGAAAAGATATAGCGTGTGTGTAGGGAGACCTGCCAATGTGGCAGTTGAGGGTACAAGCAATAAAGGGCAAAAGGAGAGATCAGAACTCTCTGTTTCTTCTCAACTCTCACCCCTTTCCTCATTAAGGGCATTTAAAGATATTCTAGTATTTTCCTGATACTTCCTTTCCCATCAAAGCACATCCTGCAATTTCAGCAGTGATAGTAAGCCTTAATGAATAAGAGTGAGGAGCGTTAGGAAACGCCACAGTGGTCTTAGGTAATTACATCTGAGAGAGGAAGTGCCCTGGAGCAACCTTGATGAATGTATACTCTGAAGATTTCATGATCCCTGCCCTAGGTACAACACAGATACACTACCAGTACACACAACAAGTGCAACCAGTGTTAAAGAAGGAGGAAGAACATTGAGAACATTGCTATAATGGCAGTTTTTCCTATAAGGGGAGTGGTGGTGCTGAGGGTCCAGGAATACCTACTTACCAGTTAAGTGGCTGGCAATCCTGGCAATAGGTTTAGGAGGCAGGGCAGGGGGCTGTTTGAGGAGGGACAACTGTTTCACTGGGGTGTCCTCATGGTCTCCAGGGAAAGCGGCAGATTTTTTAGGGGGAAGTAGCAGGACTGGCTTAGCTGTAGGATCTTGGGACAGGAGGACGCCGGATTCATTGGATGTGGGGCTCTCTTCAGACACTGGAGGACACAACCACATCATAGACGCAACAACGTTACGAGCAAAGCAGCAGCGGATACAGCCAAAGTTAAGACAAGAAAAGCAGCACAGCAATGCAGATTAGGAATGACTAATAGATTTCACTCGAACATCATATAACGTAGAAAGGAGGAAGGAAGGAGAGAAAGAAAGAAAACGAGGAAGAGTAACACACATCTACACAACAGCCGAATTTCCCATTACCTCTGACAGAATCCAGCTCCTTTATGTCAGGCTGGGACGTATTCCCACATCTCGAACATAAATCAAGTCTTAAAATGTCACATCTCTGACGGTCTGTCACCACAGCTTGCTCAGGACCAGATATGTTAGCAGGTGGTCTCTAAACTTATCCTGTAAATGTAAAAGCACCTCACGGGGCCTACTCTGTTTCAAAGAGGCTACATAGCTGTGCAAAATCATGGATGATTGCTTCTACAGCTCACTTTTCCTCACTCGACCTTTGTCCACAACTCTCAGAACTAAGTGAAGCAGAAAGAGGAGCTAACCTAGATGCAGAGCATTGCTGCCTCTCTGCATGGGCTGGGGAAGCAGTGCAGCAAGCCACAACTAGGGTAGGGCAGCTGGCTGAGTTAGTTACTGACACAGGCGTGGTGTGAACATCACCCAACACCACATGGTAGCTAGAAAGCATGATGTTGTACCCCTAGGTTTAAACATGTTGTCAGCTCTCTGCTCTGGAGCTCAATGGCACACCTGATATGTAGATGTAGAGTTGGAAATCTACTCCTACATGTTCACAAATTGCAGGGACTTCGCCTTACTCCAGAAGAGGTTACTTGCATAGAAGTAGAGGTTACTTCTATGCCAAGGTAGTCAAAATTCCTTGTAGAGCATTCAGTGACAATCCCTATGCTGTCACCTCCTTTTACAGCAGAAGACCTAAGCACCAAGTGTTAGAAGTCAAAAACTTGCTTCGAACAGCTTTGAGTATCTACATCACAATGTAAACAAGATGTTACCTGTCCCATCCATGATCTCTGTAGTTGGGAGCACCTCGTATGAGCAGGGTTCCACAGATGTTGGACCTGACTCCAGTTCTGCTAGGGCTGGCAGGGATACCTGGCTGGAGCTCAGCACTTGCCCAGAGCCCAGAGGCTGCCCATTCTCCAAAGCTCCATCTTCGTTTGGTATGGCAAGTTCCCCATCTGTTCATAGTTGGAAGAAAGCAGAATGACAAAAAAGACACATAAATAAGATGCAGAAAGAATTTAAAATGAAATCTGCTATCTCCAGATACAAGATTTCAAATGAGATCTAGTATGTATACACGTATTTGGTTTGTATGGAAAAGTTTTGGCAGCAGGGCAGTTATAGGGGTGGTATTTGTGAGAAGCTGCCAGAAGTCTCCCAAATGTCTGATGGAACCAGCTCCAGTCAGCTCCAAGATGGACCCACTGCTGGCCAACGCCAAACCCATCAGTGATGGTGGTAGCACCTCTGGGCTAACGTATTTAAGAAGAGCTGAAAAAAACTCACAGGAATTGCAGCCACAGAGAAGAGTGAGAATATTTAAGAGGAACGACTCTGCAGACACCAAGGTCGGTGAAGAAGGAGAGGAGAGAGGTGCTCCAGGTGCTAGATCAGAGATTCCCCTGCAGCCTGTGGTCCATGACCATGGTGAGGCAGAAATTTGTGAAAAACTGCAGCCCATGGCAAGGACTCACATTGGGAAGTTTGTGAAAGACTGTATCCTGTGGGAGGGGCTGGAGCAGGGGAAGAGTATGAGGAGTTACTCCATGACGAGGAAGCAGCAGCAGAGGCTACATGTGATGAACTGACCACAGCCCCCATTCCCTGTCCCCTTGTGCCACTGTGAGGAGGAGGTAGAGAAAATTGGGAGTAAAGTTGAGTCTGGGAAGAAGAGAGGAGTGGGAGGAAGGTGTTTTTAAGATTTAGGTTTTATTTCTCTGTATCCTACTCTGATTTGGTTGGCAATTAATTAAACTAGTATCACAAGCTGAGTCTGTTTTGCCCATGACAGTAACTGATGAGTGATCTCTCCTTGTTCTTATCTTGACCCATGAGCTTTTTGTTTTTTCTCTCCCCTGCCCAGCTGAGGAAGGGAATGACAGAGCAGCTCAGTGGGCACCTGGTGTCCAGTCGGAGTCAACCCAGCATAATATGGAAGACACAGGGATAAGGATCAAAACAATATGGTTTGTATCGCCAAAATACAACTTGTGCTGAGCAATTTTTGGAGATGTCTTACTGCAATGTTCTGTCCATCTGCTTTAAGGGGTTACTAAGACTTGGGAAACATCTGTCAAATATTTGTGTTGATCTTTTGCTTACCCTAGGAAGGTCATCATGAACCAAGTGATCATGAACCAACATGCTTGGTTCCTGACCCTCCTTGACCCATGGGGACATGCAGCCCCATCCAGTGCCAAAAAATCTGTTTTCTCTCTGTCTGTGTTGAAGCTGGGAAATCAGGAATGAGAATTGCCTGGAACTGAAGCTGTGAAACTTTCTTAATGAATACCAATATACACTGCATATAATTTATAGTTTTTTAAATAATAAGAAGAACAAGAATTATTCTCTTTCCTTATACCAGCTTCTATGCAAAATCAAGAAAGTAAAACCAAGCAAAATCATAGGAGTATGTCCCTATTTTGCACACAAATAAAAACATTACCGCTCCATCATCAATATTTTATGCAATTTTTATAGTTGCCTGGTGTAAGGTCTTGATACTGGTATATATCAGATCCCATTTAGAAAGCCTGTTTTTATAGTTACTAATAATATCTCCTCTCTCTGAGCAAAATTTCTGTAACAGCAGCTGGCAGTCTCTTCCCTATCAAACACCACTTCACATTAGAAATAATAAAGAACAGAAGCAAGGGCTCAGATAATTCTCTATGGTGTCAACCTGCATGATTTTTATCTCAGAACTTGTAAAGCACAGCACTCCGGTACCTGGAGGCAATGGCTACATGGATATCTCAATTACAGTTTTATAAAGGAAAGTGTTCAGCCCCTATGGTTACAAATGGAAGACTGAAAATATAACTGAAATGTGACCTGTAAGACTAAAAACCAGCAGGCAAATAAGCAGAGCCTAATTTCACTAAGCATTTAAATTACTTTTTAAAGTGAAATTCAGGATTTCAGGATCTGTTTTTTTGGGCACCTCTTATTAGCCATATTACGGCTCAGTGTACTGAGTGGAGATGTACATCATTTGAGTGAGTGCCCATCTTCCCCTCACAGGGCTAAGATGTGCAACCCATTTTGGAAAACAATAGTGAAAAGAGAAATAAGTTAAGTCTCATTTCAGTGTCAGGACACAGCAATTAACAAGTCTGAAAGTACATTAGCTGACAACTATACAGAACTATATTTTTGCCACTTAGAGCTTCTCTACAGTATATGCAGATGGTCTCCTGATAATTTTGGATTTATTATATATACCAAGGTCTTGACTTTCTTGGCTTTGTTGGAGGTTTTTTGAAGACACAGAGAGCTATTAGCGTACACAGTCACACATACAACACTGAAACCTCGCCCATGTCTTTGAGAGCAATCAGCTAAGCTGGCTAAAAGGTGGCAACATGAAACAAAGCTGAAGGCTTTGGCCAAGTGTTCGCAGCACAACATCCTGTCAAAGTGCTGTGGTCATTCAATACAACTCTGTTTATTTCCCTAGGCAGCAAAAATCAAACAACAGTCCAGCCAGTATTTAAACTGAATGTGTTTTGACTTAGCTGTTTGGGTGGAAGTGCTATGTATTCTGTGCTCACTCTGTCTCCCTTTTATAAACACACACACGTTTCCACGTGTTCAGGGTAAGGGCTGCTGTTCTCTCAGTTACCTAGTTTCATGAAAGAGCGTAACTGTTTCTTAAGCAGTGAAATTGTTTCCTGAATGAAAGACAGTGATTGTGTCCAGCAACATAATCATTAATTCAGTACATTAATTCAGACTAAATTTGACTGTAACTGTGACCAGAGAAAAATATGTATTATGAAACCAGTAACATTTGTTTTTTGGAGGATGTCTGTACATTTTTAATGAAGTGGGAAACCTATCGTAGTACATGGAGCATCTTGAAATCTTACTGTCTTAAGTGCACTTTGTGCTTCTCAAGTTGTATTAGCCTGATTTAAGACAGCATTCAAACGACCCATGAAGGTTTATGATTGCAAAAAAGTAAAAAGCAGGATAAAATTTTGGCTTTTGCTTTTTGTCATAATAATAAGCATGACAGCTTTCTGCACTGACAGCATCACCTTTTTTAATCTTACCTCTGAATATCTCTAATATTCATCTAGGGTCTAAAACTTGTCCTTGGATTTGAATGAAATCGTCAGACATGGCACAGAATCAAAACTGAAATATACACCCAAAGTCAGGTCTTGCTTAAAGATGAGCTACATGGGGAGCTGCTCAAGTACAACAAACAGACCAAAGATGTGGATAAGATAATTTGTAGGGTGAAGAGTATCTTAGTGTGAATTAATCCAGCATCAGAGACATGCTTGACAACCAGATATAAAAGGCAAATTACTTATTATTTCAAAAGTACTAAAGCTATTCCAGTGAGCTGACATACAAATGAAGAGAATCCTGGTAATGCAGTCATTACATATACATGGATAAACTGATTAGTTTTCAGGAACCAGCTATGTTAAGTTATTAAAGTTAATTTTGCACAGTGATAACATACATAATCTTTTGTTCTCACACTTGCTAAATCTTTTGCTGTGTTTTCACAGAGCCTGATGCTACTTAGTGGAGAATCACATTCCCTGAGTGCATGATCTTCGGTAATGTTGGCAGAGTGTGAATCTGGACAGGACCATGAGAGAGTAGCCTGACCAGTACTTCCGTGTTCTTCACATCATAGATCGGCCTACCCTCTCACTGTGTCTTTTACTTGGAATACCTTGGAGTATGGAACTTCCTGCGTATCTGGAAAGTGCCATTCTCATGTATTCCTTCTGCAGATAAATGGAGAGTCTGAAATCCTGGGTTATTTTTTCCTTTGGGTTATCTCTTTCAGTACTTGCCTGCTCTCAAGTAAGACTGTCCAGGCAAGCATTCTTGATGGCAAAGTCTAGGAAGGGCAGAGAAAAAGTCATTGTCTTTCTCTGCCATAACCCCTATGGGTAAGAGATGGAAAACTGGGGGTTCTTACACATGGTTAACACCTGTCATTAGAGCTGTTTCCTCGTCCTGGTGACTATCTTAGCACAGCAGCTAGGGTCCTCCTTGACTTCATTGTCTAAGCAGACTCCTGATTTTGTGGGATCCCATGGAGTTTGAGACAGGCTGCCTCTGGAGGAGTTCAAAAGCTTTTGATTTCACAGCAGCACAACTGGCTCTCCAGTGGCTGTCACACCTTCCTCCTTCCACACTCATATTCAGAAATTCTCACTACAGCCAATCACATCTACCTTCAGATAAAAGAAGAGACATCAGATATTACAAGTAGATTTAATTCTTTGACCACCACCATGAAACAGTGGGCAGTTTTAAAGACAGATGCTTTTAGGATGGTTACACCTTCATGTGAAAATCAAAGGTGTCTATCTATGTGTAGGAGCAATGGTATAGTAAAAATGTCAGTTCTTCTAAACACTGAGTTATGTTCTGAGTTGCAGGTGGAAGCAGTATTTTTAAATTCTCAGCACTGCCTACCCACAAACTATTAGAACAGCAGGTTCTTCAACTTACTACTTTTCCAAAAGTACAGAGTATTTGAAAAAATTATAACCTTTGCTTACATTTTCAGAATACTCAAGTCACAGAGCCCTGGAAATGGAAGATAACAGAAACTGATTTGGTCATGAGTCTGGCCCTTTCCAAGAAAAGAGCTCTCTGCAGTTCAGTCTGGAGCAGTTTCACTTGACCAGTTTAAGTGTGGGGGTCACTGAAGTGATAAAAGCATTTGTTGATTTCCAAATATAGCAGCTGGACTGCAGTGCCTCTCCCATGTGTGAACACTGTGACTTACTGTGCTCTGCTAACTTTCACCTGCTGGATGACATAGAGCCCTCTGAAAAGCCAGCAAATCCTGAAGCAAACAGGTCAGAGCATCATTTTAAACTGCAGGCAAACAAACTAGCTAGTTCTGGCTTTCTTCAGCACAGAAGATATGACAAAAGCAGCACTAAGCATATGGCAAGAATTTTTGTTCTTGAGTCAGTCTGTCCACACTAAGTGTCTTTTGATATGAATGGATTTTTTTTTAAGAAGGAAAAAGGCAAAATTACTCACAGACTGATTCTGCTTGCTTTGTCCACCTCTTAGAAATGGGAGATAAAGAGATTTAGCATTATGGCTACACCTACTGTCTGTGCAAGATGCCTCTTGGCACGGAAGGTGCTACCATAATCAAATAAAGCCTTCTGCTATGAAATGCTAAAGTGTTTTCTTGAAGGATTACAGATTACCTAACAGGAATTACAAGGAAAACGTTACTTCCACTTATGGTTCAGTGTGAGATATGATATCCTTTATTAGAATTACTCTCAGATTATTACACCACCGAAGGAAATAATGCTTTTGCTCTACACAACTCCCTTGCTCATATCCTTGTATCATCAAAGTAATTTGATTACTGCTGCTATTCTTGTGTATTACCAGTTGCTTCTCTGCCCTACCACTTTCATTCAGGGAAGGGTACCAATTCTTAGCTTTCTGTGTTTGCAACCAGCAGGTATAATGTAGGATACTGACTAAGGAGTCCAGCTCTTTTGCATTGTAGTTTTCCTTTTAGTGTCACCTGACAGTGGAAAAAGTCCAATGTTTCTGCCTTTTGCACTGGAAATAGGAAGAAGCAGCATGTATTTTGTATCAGCTTTTTTCTGGTATGAAAAGGTGAAAAATTACTATAAAGAGAAACTAATTTCTTTTCTTTCAGATGAATACCTCCAGACAGCTTAGTATCTGCTTCACAAGATGACACAGAAGATTACAAACTAAAGCATTATTTGATCAGTGGAGAAAGCTGTAGTGCTTTGGTAGCAAAGCAGGGGGAATCACTCTGAGTTTTGGCATGGAAGGCAGAGTCAGACTGCACAGAAAAGATTTTTCCCTGGGGATGCCTTTAGAAATACATGGAGATGGTTCAGAAAGCAGCTGTATGTGGGATGTGAGGCAGGGATGGAGAAGATCACACGGACAGAGGTGTGACTGAAGGCTGCCTTCTGAGCTGGCTGAGGCAGTGAATGGGGAGCTCTGCCTGGGTCACTTGGTGTGACAGCCTGGACCATGCCTTGCTGGCTGTGGATCACACTGAGTCACACTCCAAAACATGGACAACCCAAAGCAGTGAGAAGGGCAAACCTTTTTGCCAGTTGTTTCTACCCTGAAGTTGCATCTGGGATAATTTCCAAGCCAGCAGGTCATAGTGACAGCACAGACAGTGTTAGATCTGAAGGATTAGAAGCATCTACAATACATAACTGGTAAAATCTGTAAAATATGACAGGCACCCTTTTTTATTGTTTGCTTTGTAGTGTTTTGCATGTTTTTGGTTTTGTTTTCACTAAAAGAAATGAAGAGTTTGGGTTAGGAAATGTTTTAATTCCCAACAAACTAGATTAAAAAGTAGATAGCAGATTTAAATGCTCCCAAATTTATTAAGTACACCATAGTTCTATAATCTGTGAAAGTTTATAACTTCTATGGACATCTAACAGCTTTTGTACTGGTACTGTAAAAGACTTTTAGATTTCAAACTAGTGAGGCTTTAAAGCATAGGCATAAATTCTATTGAGATTAAGAGGCAATTTTGTCATGTCTTTATATGATTTGTTGAATTAATTGCCTTAGTTATTGACAAGGGAAGCAGCAAAACAAATAAAAGCTGCAGTTAAATATTGGCACATATGTAATAGATGTCAAGTATGTATTTCATTACCACTGTAAAACAATGATGTTTGTAAACAATGTCATTTTGCATAAATTAGATACCATCAACACAACAAATTAATTACCCTGAACAAGGAATTATTATGTCTTTGGAGCTGTTTCAAAAGAAAGTACATTGTTCTATTCTCATCAGGATCCAAAACCTTTGAATATTACCCTTTTCCCCAGTTAATCCCAGAGTGACTCAACCAGATAATGATAACACATGCAGGCACAGACCCACTCCATTTCCACACAGTCTGGATGCTTTGCTGTTTTGCAGTGAGTGACTACTGCCTGTTGCTGTGATTTTTATTTCTACTGCTTTACATTTATGATTAGTTTTAATTTTTATTTGCTAAGTAACTATCACACATATCCAACAGAGGCCCAGCCCACAGTGAAATCATGAGAGGTGTTTGCAGACCTTATGCTGCAGAGTCTTGCAAGTCAGGATTCTATTCCCAATTCCTAGTGTTACAATAATGTAGCATCTGACCATAAAGCTATATGGGATGTCAGTTTAATGTTGTGAAAAGAAGAACACTTACCTTTATCAAAAATTTCTTTCAGCACTCCTCGTTTTATAAGCTCCTCTCTGCTTTGCCTCATTGATATTTTTCTTTCCAAAGCTGTAAGCAAAGGACAAGGGTCAATACAAATAGAAAAGAATGGAAATTAATGTTTTAAAAGGTTCTACTCCTTATAAGGCATTTTAAAAAATGCTTTTTCTCCTTTTCAAGTCAGGGGCAGTTTAGCATCTCAGAATAAAAGCTACTGGCAGTCCAGAGAATCTATCTGCTGCTGTAGTGTGGCTATTATTGATATAAATGGCTAAAGACTGACTGATTTGAGGGATGTCTGCACTCCTGTTGCTTCATTTTGACACATGACCCAATCATTTCTGTCAAGAATTAGATACAGCAAAGGGAGAAAAAGGAAATTAATGCAGAAGTCGCAGAGGAAAAGGTAAGAAGAAAGACCACACAAGGATCACACCAATGAATGATGCAGGCACAGAAGGTGGCCGTGGACTATCTCCAGGCCATGGAAGAGGATGGTAGCCAAGGCTTCTTTGCCACTAATCCCACTGAAAGCAAATCAAGTTGTTTGCGGCAGCGCAAAACCCAAACTGTTTAACAGAGCCTTCTCCTCCCTGGAGGGGTGTTTTCCCTCAAATAGATGTAAATGAGGGAAACTCCAATTTACACCATGTGTGAACAGCCCGAGTTCTGTATTGGCTGCTTGGAGACTGCAGTCACTGAGGCAGCAAAACGACAGATAGAAAATACATGTTTCTTTCATCCAGTAGTAATTAAAACAATGTCCAATTAACCAAAACACCACAAAGCACATGCTTTCAGGCAAAGACCTGAAAGCCAGCAAGCGAGGGGCGCATGAAGTGATGTGCAGGAGTGGCTGTGACTGCACCCGCTCTGTGAGAAACAAGCCCGTGCCTGCCAAAAAAGAGGCACAGTCAAGGGCAAATTGCTTCTGCCATATGCTCCTCTATCAGACCCAGCACAGATGTGCACATACACACAAATGAACTGGGACTTAGCATCTCCAGTCTGCCCAAGGCAGATTTAAAGCAAAAGAGACTTAGAAACCCTCTCTCCATCCCTGAAAACAGGAGGGTGTAACCTTTTCTGGTGCCGCTGTGTGTTGGCCGTTCCCGCAGGGGCACATATATTTGGTGAATTAGCTATGCTTATACTGACACGCTGTACACATCGCAACTCATTTGCTGTCAGATACTTAAGGCTTAGTATGAACAAGGCCAGCTCTGCTTCATTCTTATCCATAGGATAAATTTAGGCTTCTCTGTTTTTAAAATCAGTTTTGAACTTCCGCACAAAGATGACCAGTAGGTAGAGTCAGAAGCTAATAAAAGCCCTGGTCTCCTGTAAACACACCCTATGAACTTCAGCATGGATCAGAATTAAAGGCAGGCCCCTTTGCTGAGGCACAAGACCTCATACCCATTAGCCAGCCACATGGTGCTGTTTGATTTTAGAGGCAGCTAACACAATGGCCACAGCATTTTCTAGAGTGCCTCAGATCCATTTGAAGAAGTGCTTTAGGCACCTCAACTGTCTTTTAATGAAAGGCCAATTTCTAAGTTTCTAATATGCTTTTGAAAAGAAAGACCCAACAGGCAGACTTTGGAATCATATTGCAGACTGCTCCTCAAACTACCCTTTCTGTGTGCTGAAGAGATCTTCTTGTGGCACAGCATTTAAACCTTTTCCCTCTTCCTCCTTACGAATAGCTGCCTTCAGCCCCTTCAAATAAAAGCCAGAACAAGCTATAGCTAATTCCTGAACGTTCTCCCACCAAATAAATTGTTAAAACCCTGACTGACTTTAAAGAGCAATTTGTTGGCATCCAACACCTTTCTCAATAGGTCTCAGAAAGTGTAATTTTCTGTTACTGTAAGCAGTGAACAGCACCCAGTCTGTCTGAACTTGCCCCTCAGTGGGAAACCAAGACGTGGTTAATCAGCAGCGAAGCAGCAGTTTCTGCATAGAGACATCAGCACGGCCCACAGAACAAAGGCAAATTCTGCTATTTCTGTACTTGACCATAAATAGCAGCTAAGTAACAGATCCACATTTTACACACAAATTCACTGGCAATCACCTAGGTTCACTGTCTCACCCCCCTGCCTAGTGAACAGCTGGCTATGCAAGGTAGCAGCATTACTGCCGACTTCATGGGTAGGAGCTCCCACCACATTATTATAGTATTGGTAAGAAACACAGTAATTTTGTGGACTGGAGTTAAGGCTTTTTGGGAGTCAGGTGCTACAAAGGACTAGGAGGACATTTTGAAGAAGCGCAGGAGTGCCTTTTCCAGATCAGTTGCTGGGGAAGACCCTCAAGTATTGACCAAGACTTCTCAGAGTCACAGACTACTTTTGCAGTCTAGCAGAATTTCCAAGATAGAGTATGTATATTTGAAAGACTGTATATACATAGGCTTTTCAGATACTCCCTTTTAGTTGTAATCTGCTTGTGTTCAAGAATGAAAAAACCCACAACCCTCCAGCTGAAGCTCAGATGTAACCAATTTTTTCAGTTTCTAAATCCTTTCTAAGTATGTACAGGACTTAAAGTATTAATTATTTTCCTACTAAGCCAGTTTAATTAATAAGATATTTAGAGGAAGGGCATGCTGGGCTAAGAGCAGCACTGAATGATAATAACAGATGTTACACTGAAACTATGGAACATGCTGCCTTTCTTTAATACAAATCTTCCCCCAAACAAGTCTCATACATTTAAGTGCATAACCTGCTATGCTACTGCTGGGTCAGATGGAAAAAAATACAAGCACTTAGATGCAGAACTCATTAGGATCTAACAGCCTGAACAATGACATGTTTTACTTGGTCTGGATTTCTCTGACAAAGATTGCCAGCTCTTTTACGAAGGATTTGCTCTTCAAGCGGAAAGCTGATACAAAATAAATTAATTCACTCTCCACTGAGAAAGGATCCATTCACAGCAGAGGATAAATAAAAACCTCTGAACTATTCCTTGATTCATGAAAACTGTGTAAATTCTGTGATGGGGAAAAAATGAAATAAAATTAATATTTAACAAAAGATGTATTACTTCATTAGTGATTTTCCATGGTGATTAACCTCATTTTTTGTTTGTACAACCTTTCAGGAGATTAGAAATAAGCATTAAGCCCTCTTTATGGGATCTACTTATGCCAGAAACTAGTTATTGTAACAAATTCATCCACTCTCCAAGAAACTCTCAGTTACTAGTTTACAGAAATGAGCCTATGTGTATTTTATAGTATAAGTGCACTAATTTTGTCGGTGTGCTCTGCAGTACGCTGTTTCTTTTAAGCTTTGATGAAGAAACAGTGGGAAATGTTTTTATTAATGTTTCTGAGCTGGTATTTTTGAACTCATCCCTCAGGAGCAGCATCCCTCTGCTGTTCAAGCAGCGCTTTTCTCTGTGGCAGCACCACTAAGATCAGTAAAGCCCTGACAGGGTCAGGAGGAGTTCCTGCCCCTCTGTTCTGGAAATCAAGTACGGTTTTGAATTTATTCCTTTAATAAGCCACTGTGCTCTGTGATGGCAGTGATTGTGGGCTGCTCCTCCAGCTGAGAAGGTGAAGCTCACTGCTGCCTCTGAGCCAAGAGCTTCTGCTGCTCCATTAACCAGCCAAAGAGGCATTTATGTAGCCAGGACGCATAACCTTTCTGTCCCTCCAATTTCTCCCTTCAAGACCAAAACATCTCAGATGAACTATTGCAACCTGCATCTATATGAGAATAAACCAGCCTACTTTGCATAACTTGTCATGTTGCTGCTTAAACCAAGGGGAGAATTAAATAAACAGGTCCTGCCCTTTCTTCTCATCTGACAACCAAAACTCAACCCCAGGCTGTGATGGCGAGTTGAGTATCTACCTTGGTTTTTTTTTTTTTGAGGTTGCCCTTGGCCTTTGTCTTAAAAAGCACTGGGGGCTGCTTTGCATGAATTCTTCCTTTCAAAGGCCACTACCATTTTCATGATGATTTTAGGAAGGAAAGGTTGTTATAGGATGGAGCTTAGAGCAGAAGCTTTCTGGTGCACCAATTACACTTGCATTCAATAGGAATCTGCTTTGCTAATCTGAATAATTAGAAACAAGCAAACCAATTGCTTTGCACAGCGTTTTGATAAACAATCATCAATATTTCCTTTAGACTTGTAAGGAAGGAGAGATTTTCAGATGCAATGGATTATGTATCAGAGCATGTCACATCATCTTGAAATTTTTGCACCTATGTAGACTTTCTTGACAATCACATGGAGCAGGATTCACCTGTTATAAACTTTTTACAGGGTGGGTTTCTGCCTCTGAGCTGGCCTCCTTATATATTAAGAGCAAGTCTCAGGCATGATTAACCTCAGCCTAATGTAAGCATCTAAACCAGGCTAAACTGCTCCTTGAAAGTGCCTGCTAAGCTTCACTGATCATAAAGGAAGCTAAGGGTGAGTAGCTGAGATAAAGATGCGTAAAACTAGAGCTGAATACACTCCTGAAATCAAAACTGACTGAAGTGAGTAGCTTTAAGAAAAGAAATACTGCTGCAGATGAAAGGCAAACACTGAGCTGAGGAAAATGTAAATATGTCAGCTCACACAGAGCTTCATTAATTTGGGATTGTCTTAATAGCTGTGGCATGACACTCAGCACTGCTGCTGAGAGATTGGGGTTTGACCAATGCCAAAACATAGCTTGGTTGAAATAACTATTCTGCTTTGCTTTGTGCTAAACATGAATTTTGCTTGGCTTCAAACATGGATAGGTCTCTTGAAGCCTAAAGGAGGTAAAAATATTCCAACATGTTTCCAAATATTTGAAATTTAAAGTTCCTTACAGAACTTTAGAGTCTTTCTAATATCAGCCTGGGTTTTCCTGTAACAGTACCATCTACAAAATCTAATTCAGACAAATTACAACCTAGAAAGAATTAGGAGTCCCTTTTTGTCTGTCAGTCCACTCATGACAGTTCTTGTTTTGACTGTAGTCTAGCACTCACATCCTGTGAGATGACAAAATAAGTGAACATCAGTAGAAGAATGATGGGCTGGTATTAAAAGGCAAGCTTGATTTTAGA